CCTCAATCGACCCAGCCCAAGTATCAGATGAATGAATATGAGCCCGGTGGTACTACGACCGGATATTGATCCAGGTCGTTTCTCGAGTCTTGACATTTCTCGCAACCAAGTTCTTCTACGGTACCTCTCCCCAGGAATATTAGGAGTTGCTACCCAACTAGAACTTTATGCTGTCACCACTCTCTACTTCTCTCGTGAAAGCCTTAGATTTGCTCTCCAACGACAGCCAGCGAGTCCGCAACGATCGATCCCCACAAGCGCTGCGGAAAGAGCTCATCCCCAGAAGCCTGGAGAACCGAAATCTGGCAACTATCAGGAAGATACTCAGGTTGTCGTGAATCTTTCTTACCTAGCTGTTGCAATAGGTGGCCCTCTGATATATCTTCTGGGCTTGTTTTATTCTCGATTTGCCAAACATGATGTCGTCAAAGTACCATTTTTCGAAAGCAGCCTCAAAGTAACAGGTTTTGCATGCTTTTTAGAACTATTGACAGAACCGTGTTTTGCTGTAGTCCAACACAGAATGCTTTATAAAATAAGAGCATTAGCTGAAACAACAGCTGCCGTTATGAAAGCCTCGACCACCTGTGGGATCAGTATATGGGCATCTCAACGGGGAATGGATATAGGCGTTTTACCCTTCGCTGTGGGCCAAACAGCTTATGCATTTACCCTTCTTTTTGCCTATTTCTTCACTATTGGCTCATATTCAATCCGAAATGGTTTCTCGGTATTTCCTCTTGCCATCCGTCACCGGTTAGTAACTCCCCGATATCGAGCACACATGAGCCTAACGGCTTTCTAGGGACACAACCAATTACTTTTTGAACCTTTTCTCTATTCCTCTATTCTCCCTCAGCATCAATATATACGCTCAGTCGGTGGTAAAGCATATCCTCACCCAAGGTGACTCAGTGGCGCTTGCTGCGTTTTCAACCCTTGAGGAGCAAGGCCTGTATGCGTTAGCCTCCAACTATGGAAGTCTTGTTGCAAGAATTATTTTCCAGCCTATTGAGGAAAGCTCCCGGAATGTGTTTGGAAAGCTTCTCACTTCCAGCAAAACAAAACCGGCAACAACACAGAGCCTGAAGCGGGCCAAGTCATACCTCTGTGATATCCTCCATGCTTACGGTATTTTTTCGATAATCATCTGCGCCTTGGGTCCAAACATAGCCCCGCAGCTGCTCAGGCTCCTCATAGGCTCTCAGTGGTCACGTCCTGGCATCTTTAGCCTCCTCTCCAACTACTGCTATTACATTCCGTTGCTAGCATTCAATGGCATTACCGAGGCCTTCATCGCATCTACGGCGACACATTCAGAGCTACGGCAACAGTCCGGCTGGATGGGCGCTTTCTCTGCTGGATTCATTACTGCGGCCTATTTGTTTTTGAGGATAGGGAAATTTGGTTCTCGCGGAATAATATGGGCGAACGCCATGAACTTGAATCTCCGCATCATTTGGAGCTCCTGGTTCATTAAAAAATATTTCCGAGATCGCAAAGATGGTTTTAAGATATCGGAAGCGCTACCAAACTACGAATCTGTTGCGGTTGGTGTTGGAGCATACGCTGTCATGTGGGCGCTGCAACCCGGCCCTGAATCTGAGCTCTGGGACATCTTCAGAATGCTCCTTGTTGGAGGAATTTTTGCGGTCTCCATGTAAGTTCCATGTTAGCACCTTGCTTTTCCCCATAAATATTCGTTTCTAACCAACAAACAATGAAATAATAAAGTCTATTTCTTGAGAGGAACTATCTCATTGAACAGTACCGCAAGTACAAAATGGCATAAGTCAGAATTCGGATGAAAAATAAATCTAATCATCAAACTTGATTTTAGTGGCCGTTTTCATGGTGTCAGCCTCCCTGAAAAACGCGCCATAAGAATCGTGCTGCTTCTTTTTCACAGTGGTACCGAATTTTAAGAGTGCTTCGGGTATATCTTGGTTAGCTCCCTTCAAGATATTAACTAATCTAACTTGATGTTAGCATTTTCCAGTAGCATGACTATGACAAATAACATCCCACACTTACCCTCCAGACAATGCTTTATCATTCTCGGTGAACATCGTAATCGCCAACCCATCCGAACCAGCCCGACCAGTCCTAGTATAGCAGTTAGCGATATCAGCAGCATAATAGCTCTATTTAGGGTGGTGGTCTTACCTTCCAATTCGATGGACATAGTCTTCAACTGTCAAGGGAAATGTGACATTTAGGACTAGCTTGACGGCTGGAATGTCTAGTCCACGGGCGGCCACATCTGTGGCAACCAGAACAGGTACAGAACCTGATTTGAATGCATCCAGGCTGTTGAAGCGTTCTGTCTGGTTCATGTCACCATGAATACCCGCAACCTTGAAACCCTTAGAACGGATAAATCGCTCAATACGAGTCGCCTCCTTTTTGTAAAGACAGAATACCAACACTTTATCCATAGCATTCCTGCCCCTTTGATATTGGTTCAATAAGGACAAAAGCCGACTCTCTTTATTCTCTGGTTTTACAACCTCCACAATCTGCTTGATCCTCGTGTTAGCACGGATGTCGGAAGAGAGATCGCCTCCAATCGTAACCGTGACCGGCTCTTTCATAAAGGTAGTTGCGAGCTTCCGTACACTAATAGGCCAAGTTGCGGTGAACATGACTGTCTGGCGTTTCCTTGACGAAGGCATGGCGCTTACGATATCTTTGATATCTTGCTCGAACCCTTTATCCAGCATCCTGTCGGCTTCATCTAACACAAGGTACTTCACTTTTTTCAAGTTCAAGGACTCGTCACTGTGAAAATCCTTTAACCTCCCTGGTGTTGCAACAATAACGGACGCCTTCTTCAGTGCACGGCGCTGATCGTCCTTCGAGGCACCTCCGTATATGCATGCTAGGCCTACGCCATTCGGGGTGAACTTGACTAGCTGGTCATGGATTTGCATTGCCAGCTCTCTAGTAGGTGTAATGATAACAGCAGAGATTCGGAATGATGAGTGAGAAGCATTGATTTCCAACACTTTCCGAATACACGGGACGCCGAAGGCCAATGTTTTCCCACTTCCGGTTTCAGCGACACCGATGACATCTCTGCCTGCGAATAAATATGGCCAGGTGACTGATTGAATTGGGGTCGGTTTTGAAAAGTGCTCTAGAGGCCCATACAGCTGATTAGAATCTGAAGGCAGGTAAGAGAACGCAGTGATAGGACGTAAAGTCTCTTTGATCGAGGGATCCGAAATCTGAATGGTGTTGGACTTGAGGAAATCATCAATCTCAGACTGAGGCACCGCATCCAGTTCGGCAGATTGGACGTAGGGAGGTTGCTCAGGTTTAGCATCTCCCTTGGACTTTTTTTTTGGTCTAGAAGAACGCTCTGAATTAGATTCCATATTCCGACTCCGTTTAGCCATGTTTTCCGTCAGTCCGGGCTTGTACTGATAATGGAAAAAGTTGCTGAAACGGACTTCTGCGAGTGTAGGGTTGCAATTCAACCAATCAATGCTATACACGATGAAAATAGCCAAATACCCACCTTAGGGTAAAGAGGGAAACAGACTTAACAACGTCACCCTCAAGTGATGCATTGTGCGGAATTCGATCAGATATTTAAGCCCAATATACTATTTATTCAAATTCGTAAAAATTTTCCGACAATTTCTGCCAAGAGTCTTTACCGCCTCCAATAGCTTGGCGAGAATCATTCTCCCCACGAGGTCAATTCATCCATACCTAAGTACGGAGTACGGGTAATAAAATCGAGTAAAAAAAGGTCTATCATCCACTATTCATACTCTCTTTGAAACTTCGTTTTGCAGACAGATCTTGCCTTTCGCAATCAGTTTTCTGTAATGGTACAAATGATTTTCCCTTTGGTCTGGTTACTTTCCATGAGCAAATGGGCATCGATAACCTTCTCAAATGGGAAGACTCTCTCAACATAAATTTTGAATGTCCCCTCCCTAAATTTAGGCATTGCATGATCCAGCAATAGGTCCCGAAGCTGCCTCTGATACGCGATATCCCTACTCCTCAAAGAACTGCCTTCATACCTCAAACGCTTTCTCAGAATTGGGCTGATATCAATACCAGCAGGTAACTTCGTGCCGCCTAAGAAACCGAGGTTGACGATACGGCCGTCCTTAGCAGCTACGTCAAGATTCCTTTGGAAATAGCTTGCACCGACGAAATCAACAATCACATCGACGCCGTGGCCATTTGTAACCTTGTTCAACTCGCTAACCCAGTCTTGAGTCTTGTAGTTAAATCCGGTCGTTGCCCCCACTTCCTTGACACAGAAGTCGATTTTTTCCTGCGAGCCGGCTGTAACATAGATATTGCTAGCGTTGTCTGCTTTTGAAAGTTGTATTCCAGAGATGGAAACAGCTGATGCTCCTGCATGCCAGAGTATTGATTTTCCTGGCTTAAATTCGCCTACTAGATACATGGCCTGTGCTGCTGTGAACCATGTCTGCAAGATTGTAGTAGTTCACAGGTAATCAGTATGCGACGTGACAAATTCTTGTAGGGTGATCTGAGAAATTCGTTACCTCTGGTATCCCCGCCGCTTCTATCCACGATAGTTCTGCAGGCTTGTGAAGCAGTGTTTGCACAGAAGACGAAATATACTCCGCATACGCTCCTTTTGTTGTTTTTAAAAAAACCCCACATGTGAGAAATTGCAGAGGGGATTACACAGTCATATTTAAACAGGATATTTTACAACAAACCTCCGTAAGCCAATCCAAATACCTCATCGCCGACTTTGAAGTCGAGACAGTCTCCATCCCCCAAGGATTCAATGACGCCAGAGAACTCCACACCCAATATCTTGGGGGCTTGAGGGGGAACGGGATACATCCCCTCTCTCTGCAACAAATCCATCCTGTTCAAGCCAAACGCTTTGATTTTCACAAGGGCTTCTCCTACAACAGGCAGGGGTTTGGGGATGATGTTGATGAACAGATTGGCCGCGGGGCCTTTCCCTCCCTTAATATCTGATAGATTCATGTTAAACAAGAAAATATGAGTTTTAGGAGTGGCGGGAACCAACCGATTGCACGCATGCTAGCCATTGTTTGATAGATGTCAGTTCAATCCAGAAGTACTATTTAGTACAGGTTTTTCATCACGAATATGAGTGAATAAATAAATATACTCCACAGGTTCCCAGACCTGGTTCATCACAACAATCAACCATTATTAAGCAGCAAAATCACCACGAAGGTTCCAGAACACCATTTGATAGGCAAAAATCAAATTCAGGGCACATTCATTATATACATATATATTTTGCAAATCCATATATGCACCGATTCTACTTCCTAGGTTTTTTTCTTTTTCCTTTTTCTACAACTCCAACCCTTAGCAAACCCTAATTCTCCTTCTCAAATCCATGTGTATCAGGTTACGAAATTAAACAGGATCAACCTTTTCAGATTATATATGTAAACCTCATTCAGCTTTTTCGCAAACCAAGTCGAATAGCAAACCATGTAGCAATGATTCTGCACCAGTAAAACTTCCTCCGGAAGGTTTTGATTCTGAAATGAAGCGCTGCCCCTATAGGTTCTCCTACTGGATTTACAATACCAGGTTAAATCGGATGTGATACTTCGCGATATCGTTTATGAAGTTATGGAGAACGATGCAGAAACACATGTTATGTACAAGGAAACATATATCATCAGGGGGCATTCCACGCAATCCTTTAGCTGAGCTCGTAAGCATTGATCAGCTCTGCAAGGCGAGTTGATTCCACACTGTAATCGATAGCGCTAACGGACGATACTTGGTACCGAACACTAATAGTTATTCTTAGAAACTGCATGTACAGTATTGTAGACAGAAGGGATAACTCACCGTTGCTGATCCTGGAAGTTATCCATTTTGGCCCTGCAATTGAAATTCCAAGAACGACAGTTGGCTCTCTGGACAAGCTCTTCGTAGGCCCGCTCATCGTTTTCTTTAAGCTCCATAAGCTCATTTGCAGAAGTTCCTAGAATAATTTTTCCAACTTCGTCGAAGCAACTGAGCCACAAAGCACCAGTGTGATCGCACACGTTCACAGACAGGATATAGCGATACTCTGGATGAGGGAATGATTGGTCGCATCTCTCGCATCGCCACTGCCCATTCTCATCCTGAAGGACTTTTTTGTTGCATTTGTCAGTGAGACAAGCGGAATAGGCCATGGTGTCTGCTTGACATAAACCACAGTGGCTTTCACCGAGAAATAATCTGGTTTTTCAGACATTCCCAAATTGCCTTCGTGAACCTGCACGATGATTTTGAAGGAGCTAGCCCGAGTCACCAAACCCTGCAGCATTGTTCATTGAGTCATGAGACGCAAAAGATTTCCGACCTTCCTTGAGCGTCATACCAGCCCTTTAATTTATGAGCATCTTCAATATCGAGATCAACTGTCATGGACCCTGAACTGAGCAAACTAAGAGATCTCCCATTAAAATCGGAGACTTTCACGCCCTTGAAAGCGACCACAGATTCCGGTACCGAATCAAACTCTTTGGCGATATTTCCCCATACGGTAAGTCGAACAGAATATCCTGTGTTGTCAACTAATGTAAGATCACGCTTGTCATAAGGCTTGCTAGTTGTCTTAGACAGAATCTGAGAGAGTTCTCCAACGTCCTTCAACACTCCAATCACATCGATTGTGGTGCCTGCTTCTACCGATTGCAAATTAGCAATATTGGTGAAGTTGAATCGAATTTGCGGAACATCGTTTTGCTCTTCAGCCTGTATCCTTACACGTTAGAATTCCACTTATTGATGATAAAAACAGGTATGGGTAAGACCGACTTTTTCAACAACTGTATCCTTTTCGAAGGTAAGTTCATATTCGTTATTGAGGTTATTGAACGCTTTTTTGGCCATTTGGACACGGCAGGGGCTTGATATGTAATATACACAGCCTTCCTCAAAAACGCTATACAATGAATCGCACTGGTCCTTGAAAGCGGTAGCACGAATTTCGCCGCTATCATCCAAGAGGTTAACGCTAAAAAGTTTGCCCTCTCCATTTTTATTGTGCCATGTTTTGATAGCCGATTTGTTCGTACACCGTGCCTTTATCGTCCATTTATGGGAATATGGGGATAGTGCTTCGATGGGATATATATTAGCATGGGCGCTAGCTGCCGCCGCAGATCGCTGCGCTGGTTGTTGGGGTGGCTGTTGGGGCCCACGGGAGCCATAGAACCCATTGCTGGAAATTGTCGTCGGGATAGTCTTGTCTTGCTCTTCTTGCTTTGCGTCAAGGGGTTGAGGATCACCAATCTTCTTCTCACATATGCCCAGTCTGTCCAACACTTCGAGATCAAGGATGATTAGGATTCTGTAATAAATTATAATGGTTAGGCTGGTTCTAGTGTTGATCCTTAATTATGTTAGATGGGGAGGGAACAACTGACCTTTTCCCTTTTACCATGTTCGCTTGGAATGATTTCAACCGAACGAAGCAGCCACGGACTAGTTGCCCACTCGTAACATAATGGTTGGCTTCTATCACATCCAAGTTAATAAAATGGACATTCAGTAGTCATTGGCGGCCGGGTTCTAAGCATACGGGTTGCAAGCATTGTCTGTACGTAGTTTGTGATGTCACTGAAAACGGCTCTGAACCTTTCGGGACTGTTTGGCTGAGGAGGCAAGGGTTTAACTTGAACACATTGGACTACAGGCTCAGCGATCTTGGGTTTTGAGTCATCAAAAATTGCACTGGATGCCATCAGTTTAATAGACTTAAAATGTTCGCTAAGCTTTGAGAAAATACCTAAGCGCCCCCATCGTGATCGCTGCCGCGGGGTCTGCCATGGTGGTCTCGGAAAGCAAGCTTTCAAACAATATGACAATATATCAAGTAATGCAAAAACAAGACAGCTAGTAGACGTAATTGGTGTTGATGAAAAGCGTTTTTGCGTGCTTGTTCGTGGCTTTGTTGTTCGAAATAAATCGATGAGGTTTGATATCGAGGCCGCGTCGGTTGAACACGCGTTAAGCGGTTGAGGTGGGGTGAGAGCAACCACAATTACATAATCACATTGACCTCATCGCAAGCTGCCTGATCAATTTGCGGCTCTATTCCTTCAACATAAACAGAAGCAGGCCATTTCGGAGTGGGTACACCATGGCTTGCATTCATATTGATTCTCCTGGTCGGTTTGCCTTCTCTTTTCCCTAAGGTTATTTGTTTTGTTCCTAACAGCGACTTCGCTAGAGCTCCGTGCCCCGCGGGTTAACCAACCTGTCTACCGAGAGGATTGCACCCAGTGCTTTGATTCAATAGTATGCCTACTATTATCTATAGCTATATTTTACTTCAGGCACTTCTAACGGTGAATAAAGGACGATCCTTCGGGTTTAGATGTCTGTCTTTTCTGTTTCAACGGCGGATGTACGGGGGATAGGAATCACTCAAGCATCCACCACCAGCGCTCAGGACATCCGCTCGTGTTGAATATCAGGAGGACAAGGAAAGCCGTGCAGGTTAGATTTCCTTAGCTTATTTTCTTTTTCTTATTAATGTTTTGAATCAGAATATAATTCTCAGGTGCTTCAGCCCATACTAATAAAATTCAATAAAGCGAGATGAACCCCCCCCTAAGATGTCGAAGCTAGCCATCACTGCGGAAAGAGAAGAAGATCGCTACGACACTACCACGAGAGTTAGCTGCCATTCTTGTCAAGTTAGTGACATTGAAAAATCTGCTGGGAAACTCCCAGCGGTTGTCAATGGTGTATTGAAAGCTGCCACATTCTCACGGAAGGAGGAAGTCAAGGCCTGGGAGCAGGAATACAAACCGTGCCAGCATATACTGTCTCTCGTCCAGGATCAATCGAATCAGACAACGCCAAAAGGTATACTCTTTGCCATACAAGAAAGATTGTATTAGCTGCCCCCAAACTGAACCCATCTTCCTTAGATCTATGTAAATGCTCCTCATGCGACTTAAAAGAGAACCTCTGGTTGTGCCTCGAATGCGGTAATTTAGGGTGTGGTCGAAGTCAGTTTGGCGGCGTAGGTGGTAATTCTCATGGCCTCGCCCACGCAGATTTTTCTTCCCATGGAGTCGCCGTTAAACTTGGTTCCATTACACCGGAGGGTTCTGCGGATGTTTTCTGCTACAAATGCAATGACGAGATAATCGATCCTGACCTTGCCACACATCTAAAACACTGGAACATAAATATCGCTGATCTCGAAAAAACCGAACAAAGTCTCGTGGAAATGCAGATTGAACAAAACCTTAAATGGGACTTTTCGATGACTGGACAGGATGGACATGAATCGAAACCCCTTTTTGGAAAGGGACTTACAGGACTCACAGTAATTGTGGGAAACAGCTGCTATGTTTCCAGTGTTTTACAGTGCGAA